TTCATTGTTGCCAACGCATCCACAAAAGAAAAATAGAAAAAACAAAAGTACCAGTCATAAACATCATCACAAATATAAACAAGGGACAAACACTAGGACTTGATACTTGAATGGGCACACTTTCGAGGGAGCACTGGAAGGAGAAGGCTTAGAGGAAGAGGCAAGGGTTTTGAGGACGATGTCCATTCGAGTGTTTGCTGACATCTGCTCATTGAGCAGTTTCTCCTTCAGGTCCTCAACCTATTTCTTGAGATCGACATTCTCGTTTGTCAGACGGGCAACCTCTGTGCTTTGAGAGCTACTAGAACCAGGTGCCTCCTGAAGCTGACCCTAAAGAATGGCATTCCTTGCCTTTAGCTTCCTTATCTCATCAGTGGCACTTTGGGCGTTGATCAACTGGGAGATAGTAGAAGTACTACCAACCCCTCCAACTTTATCAATACAATCACACTCCTCTAGAGTGGTCTTGGAAAAGGTTTTCTTACGAGTACCCACCTTAGCTTTTCCCAAAGGGACTTTGAAGAACTCAAATACCTTGGTGAGAAGGAGCCCATAAGGCAGCCCATGATTACCATCCTTAAACTCTGCCACCTTCTGCATGTGTTCTATCATAATGCCAGGCAGGCTGATGGTGGTGTAGCCATCCAGTGCTTCCATGAGAACCAGGTATGCTCGAGATGTAATTGACCTTCTCTCAGTATGAGGGAGCAAAACCTTGTTCACAATCTCAAACAGCAATTGGTACACTGGAAGGAGGGCCTTCTTATGTACCTGTTCCCCCTGCTGAACAACATTATCCTTCACGATAGTATTTCTAAAGTTTGAATAGCACCTTGTAGTCTCCATAAAGCAGCTAACAGTCGCTCACTAATATCCGGCACGAGCAAATGTACCTGGATCTACATAAAACGATGTGTTGAAGCATAGTATGAGTAAACCACAACGGTACTCAATAAGTATCAAGCTTAACCTCGGTAGAGTAGTGACGAGGCCAGGTCAATCCACCAACTAGGATACAATAAACAGAATAAAAAAGGAATAACAAGAACTAGTAAAAATCATAGAAATATGTAACATGGAACAAGTCGATAACACAGGCTAATGAAAGGGTTGTAAGCACAGAAATAAGATAAATTAAACAACTGAGAAGAACCATAATGGTCATATACAGACAACAACTGATAGAATAAGAAAGATCAAAACAACAAGAGGTATTCTCGCCCAATGACGCTTTGCAGCAAGATTAAACAACAAGAATCACAACGAGGTACCACCTCGCGTACAATAAGAATCACAAGGAGGTACCACCTCGCGTACAATAAGAATCACAACCGAGGTACCGCCTCGTATTCACATTTCTCAATTTCAATTATAATCTTTCCTTATACCCCCGCGTGAGCCTTACATTTAAATAGTTTTGAAAACTGTATTACAAAATCGACCCCATTCACCATCATGCGAATATCATCATCCTCAGCTGTGAAGAAGTCAGCATAGAAACTGCGCACTTCTTCCTCATGCACTTTGGGACTGTCACCTGTGAACAAGTGTGTCCACTGTTGAAATTCACAGATCTCCACCAGTTATCGCATGCCAACCATATCCAGAATATCAGAGGCAAATATACGACCCCACATCACCTTTTGATTTTTTAATTTTTCCTTCCCAATATCCTGGGTATCATTAACATTTGCCTTCTTGGAAGAACCGGGTTCCTCACGGCATCACCCGTCCTTTTCACTAATTTGCGAGCACTCTTTCCTTTCTCAACTGATTTCTCAGACACTGTCTTCTCATATACTCTTTCCGAAGAATCTGTAGAAAAAATGATGGAAGAACCTGGTTCTCTATATATTTTGGTAGACCCTTAAATTCTATCAATTGGTATTAGAGCAGGTTCTTTCTATAAGGCTAACACCTAGAAAAAATCCTCATGGTTGCTCTACCAAACTTCGAAGAAGGTCAATCTACCTACAGGCCACCAAGATTCAATGGCCAATACTATGAAAGGTGGAAGACTAGGATGCACGACTTCATCATGACTGAAGACTCAGAGCTCTAGGACGTCATCTGCGATGGACCCTTCGTCCCCACAAAAACCAGTGGCGAACCAGCTGTAACAATCTTCAAAACAAGAAAGGAGTTCAATGATGCTGACCTCAAGGCCATAGAAAAGAACTTTCGTGCAAAGAAAATTCTTGTTTGTGCTATCGGTCCTGACAAATACAACAGGATCTCAGCATGCCAATCTGCTAAGGAGATCCGGGAGGCTCTCCAAACAGCCCATGAGGGAACAACATAAGTTAATCAATCAAAGATTGACATGCTTACCACAGAATATGAGCTTTTCATAATGAAAGATGATGAATCCATCCAGGACATGCACACTCGGTTCACTTCTATCATCAATAAGCTTCACTCTCTTGAGAAATCATTCCAAGAAACAAACTCTTCATGAAAATACTTAGTGTTTTGCCGAGTTCCTGGAAAAGCAAAGTGAACGCTATCACAGAGGCAAAGGACCTGCAGAAGCTAACCATCGATGAACTTGTTGGCAAGAAGAAGAAGAAGGAGGACGACAATGATAGAAGAGAGCCTAAAAGGAAGAAGAAGAAGATGATGATGATGAAGAAGAAGAAGAAGAAGAAGAAGAACAATGATAGAAGAGAGCCCAAAAGGAAGAAGAAGAAAAAGAAGAAGGAGGAAGACGACAATGATAGAAGAGAGCCCAAAAGGAAGAAGAAGAAGAAGAAGGACAATGATAGAAGAGAGCCCAAAAGGAAGAAGAAGAAGAAGAAGGACAATAATAGAAGAGAGCGCTAAAGGAAGAAGAAGAAGAAGAAGGACAATGATAGAAGAGAGCCTAAAAGAAGAAGAAGGGAAGAAGAAGAAGAAGAAGAAGAAGAAGGACAATGATAGAAGAGAGCCCAAAAGGAAGAAGAAGAAGAAGGACAATGATAGAAGAGAGCCCAAAAGGAAGAAGAAGAAGAAGACGAAGGACAATGAGAGAAGAGAGCCCAAAAGGGAGAAGAACCTGGTCCTCAAGACGGACATCAATGATTCAGGTGGTGAGGATGCTGATATGGCTTACCTGACAAAAAGATTCCATAAAATGGTTCGCAGAAATGGAGGCATTCCAAAAAGGGGCAGTTCCAGCAAGCCAAAAAATTATGACCTTTTTCATAAGTGTGGTAAGTCAGGACATTTCATCAAGGATTGTCCTCTCCTCAAGAAAGATCAATACAAACACAACACAAACAAAGCACCTAAGAGGAACTCGGTTCCTAACAAACGCTTTAAGAGGAAAAATATCGCTGACAATGTTGTGAAACAACATCTTGCTGCATGTGGAGACTCTTCTAGTGAATCTGAAGAAGATGATGATCAAGGTGACAACTCCATGATGGCAGTGGAAAGTGAAGCAGCTGAGTATGACTCTATCTTTCCCTTGATGGCACAGTCCGATGATGATGAAGATGACGATGATGATAATGAGGTAAATTTTCTAGATGTTCAAAGAAATCTGAAGTCATATTCTACTAAAAAAACTTATGTCTCTGGCAAATATTTTAATTGATGTTTATCACAATCTTATAAATGATAAAAATGCACTGATTCTTGAACTAGGAGAAGCAGAACAGTCGAGAGATGACCTAGTAGTTGTTGTGGTAGATTTAAAAAGGAACCATTAAGAGTCTCAAGAAAGAAAAGGATGTTTTAACTGAAAAACTTGCAAACGTAGAACATGAGAGAGATGATCTAGTAGTTGTTGTGGTTGATCTAAAGGAGACCATTGAGTGTGTTAAGAAAGAGAAAGAAGCCTTGACTGAAAAGGTTGCAAGTATAGAGCATGAGAGAGATGATCTATTAGTAGTAGTTGTAGATTTGAAGGATACAATTGATGAACTAAAAGGAGAAGGTATGCATGAGAAAGGGAAAGGAAGTTGCGAATGAAACACATCTTAGGCTTGAAGATGAGATAAAATCAGTGAAATCTAGTTTGTGTGTTGAACTCGAGAAAAACAAACAATTTTTAGGAAGAACTAAGTAGAGTCAAGAGTGATCTTGAAAAATCACTCAAGTGGACCTGGTCCTCTGAAGCTATCACTACCATGTACACGAACAATGGGGGAAATAGGCAGGGAATCGGGTTTCAAATGGAAAAAATTCCCTACAACCCTCATAGCAAGTACGTTATTATACCTGACAGCTGGCTCTGCACTCACTGTGGTAACACTGGACACTTTAAGGAAACCTGTAAGGCCAAGTTTCAATCTCAACAGAAAAATAAAGTTTTTTCTAAAAAGGTAATTACTGGTAGAGAACCTGGTCCCTCATATAAAAGACGTATGATGCTTGCTTGGACCAAAAGAACTCTTATTCATCCCTTTCCTCATTACAGGGGACCCAAACTTATTTGGATTCCTAATTTTCTTGTGCAGGGAACAATGAATGGGAGCAGCCAGCAATGGTACATGGATAGTAGTTGCTCAAAGCACATGACAGGAAGTACAAACGGTTTCCTTTCACTAAAGGCCTTTCAAGAAGGGAGTGTATCCTTTGGAAATTGCAAGAAGGGATGCATGTTGGGTGTTGGAAGGATTGGGAACTCTCTCTCTCCCTCTATTGAAAATATGTACTATGTGAACGGATTGAAGTACATTTTGCTGAGTGTTTCCCAAATTTGTGACAAGGGAAACAAAGTGAAATTTGTGTCAAAGATATGCACAGTCACAAATCTTGTGACTGGTGAAGTGGTGCTAGTGGCGAAAAGATATAGAAAAAACGACCTACCCCTTGTAGGATTTCAACTTCACTACTGAGCAAACTTTAGATTACAACCTACTGTAATCTAGGAATTAACCTCTTAATCCCTCACTAACTTGTCATAACTCTATTACAATCCACTTTGTAATAACTCTATTACAAAGACTTCCAACTCGACTAAACTAGCCAAGACACAAACAAGGGTTTATGATTTACAAAGGTTTCTTACACAATGCTTCTAACTAAGCTAAGTAGGAATTACAAGTGAAGAACTTTAACAAAGGTGCAACACAACTAAGGATATGTAATAACTCAATACAGGGAACTGGTCTGTTGTTATGTTGTTCTTTGTTCTTGATGCTCTTGAGAATCGCTTGCCAGATTGATTGGTCACTTGAGAAAGTACTTGATGGATTCTTCAAAAATTCAAGAGATGTTTTGTCCTTGGTTTAATGTTAATATAACATTGGTGACATCATTTGAATGATGCAAGCATGGATGGTACAGGATCATTCCCAATGAAGTTGACTGTACGATCACCAGGGGAACTGATGTCCATCTGTTCCTCTTGTTGATTCTTTGACTCCTGAAGCGTTGATTTACAATTCCAGCTTAAGTCTTGTTATTTTCACATACTTGAGAATGTGTATCAGGTTCCTTATCTAGTTCTTGTCATTAAATTTGTTAGATCATCAAAACATAACAAGGTACATATAGCCTATCACTTCTACAAGGTGGAATTTGATTTGAAAGCTAAGGTGGCTTTTTTTCCCTCTTATCTCCCTTTTTTAGTCTCTTCCTCTCGGTGATGTGTATAACATACATTCATGATGATTCCTTTGTAGGTCAAAATCTGTTAAGACAATGAAGAAGGGATATATGAAGACATAGTGTAACTGAGGGCCATCTTCTCTTCATAAAGTTTTGCAGATGCATCTAGAGATAAACAAAAGCGGAAAGTAGTGACAACGTTGAGAAAGTTTATTTTGTACTAGGCTCACCTATTATCTGGCAGACACAACTTATATGAGACTCCTTTAGAACTTTGCCACGTGGATTTTGGATAAACATTTGCCAACTCCGAACCCTTGCCCTTTTACTCTCTCCTCTTCCAAATTTCTGCAACTCCTGTTAGAAAGAGCTAAAGTAAAAAAGAATCAGTTTTTTCCTCTCAACAAACATCTTTTTTTCTAAAAATAATTCTACAGCAATTTAACTTTACTTGGGTTAAGTTTCTCAAAACCTCAAGGAGTGGGCGTGAGACACTCGCAAGGTCCCAACTAAAATAAAAATGCACAAGTAGTCCATGAAATGTGGAGCTCACAGCTACAGACCCATCGAATAGGTCTGTTGGGAGGAGGAAGATGAAGTGTTAAGAAAAAAGAAAAGAACTAAGAAAGAGAAAAAGGGAGGAGTATTTGCCTAAGAAATTACATCAAGGAGAAGAAGTTCAATAAATGGGCCCACAATTTACACATGTCACTAAATAAGAGCCTCATACAAGTATTGGATGGCATATGAGACTCAAAGTAAAATTTCTGAAAATGCTGATTTAGAGCTTTTTAGCTTCAAATGTTTGGGTAATACATTCCCAATGAGTATTAACCTATCTGGAAAAACAGATGGTCACTATAATGACATCAAATATCCCTTGTTATTTGGTAACTGGCTAAGTGATATTTTGTACCCTTTATCAGCCAACCTTGTAAAGGAGATTTGACTGTGAAGGAGCAGTTATATCACTGACCCTTCTCATTATAAGTTAAATGATTATCAAATGATGAAAGCAATTTTATTGTTTTGGGATATTTCTGTAGTGTGTGCCTCTAGCTTTATAAGATTGTAAAAATATGCTATTTGTTGCATTTGAAGAATAGTGCACCGCTTCAAGCTGTTGGGCCTGTGCTTTAGCACGGGCCATTGCGCATCTAGTTATACAATGCTTGGACGGTTGGATGTAAAAGACAACTATGTATTGTCTGGTTTGACGTTTGAACAAGTATTCAGGTATCGTGGCGGATCTAGTGTAAAGGTCACGGGTTCATGTGAATCCAGTAACTTTTATCTAGACTCAGTATTTATACCAAAAAATTATTAAAAGTATAAGAATATTTAGCGAAAAATCCTCTTCTTTGATCCAATTATCATGTGTATTAACTTGAAATTGTTGTAGAAATTCATAAATTTAAAATTTTGAATTCGCCTATTTCAGTTAGACAAGAAAATCTATCTAATTTTCAGCATATTATAAAGATTTTAACTTCCGATGCCTTTGTCACAATTCGGTTAAATCATATCAATCTCATTACATCACTTAACTATACAAAATTCAAATCACATGAAAGGTGATCATCTTCTTTTTTTGTCCTCTTTTGCTTCTTCGAAGGGTCCACCCACAAGATCTTCTTTTGCATCTTCAAGAATTCACCCACAAAAAGATACAAAAGAATTGAAAAGAAGAGTGTAGCAATTAAAATTGTTTACCCATAAAACGGTATAGTTAAATTTATATGTAATTTTTAAACAAGTAAACTAATTCGATCCTGAAATAATACAATAATTAAAGATATACAATACTTAGCGTTAGAATATAGATGAAATAACAAAGATGATGATTCCGTGAATACGGTTTCCGGACACATCGATGATGAGACTAAAGAGCAATAAGTAAAATTATATAAAGTTTTGTATAGAATATAGTGTAAGTTTAGCCAGAAAATTCGTATCCTTTAAAATGGTAATTGAGCTCACTATTTATAGCTATATTTAGGGAAAAAGGTCCTAGGATCGTGCCCTCCTTTAATGTCAATTATGAGGGTCATTGATGAAGATGTAAAGATGAACATAAATGCCAGATTCTCTGTAACGGACCGTCGCTCTTAATGCTTCGAAATATTCTTTAATAAATGCTACCGGGCACAAAGCATTTAACATACTTTTATGAACGTTATCTTTTCCGGTGACAAGTAGAGTGGCTGCGTTCGGCCCTCATCCATCTCATCTTGGATTCCACGTGTCCTCATTTTAGTCAGCCACGTGTCATATCGTATTTTACCCTATATAGATAGTCCCCCTGCTTTCCTGTGACATAACTTTGTGTTACCGGAAAGTTGATAGAAATACCTTTTTTGGCGGTAATTACTATAACTTCCTCTGAAGGTTTCTGACGGTTGATTAGACGCACGTCTCTCCGCATTTAATTCCCCGAACACGCGTCATCCCATGATTCAGCATAACTTTTGCCGATTATCGAGGTAATCATGGCCATAAATTTAGCCGCCAAAATTTTATTTATACGCAATTGTTTTTTCCTTTGCGTTTCACAATTGTTTGAGCTTCTGATTTGCATCCTTGTCTTCCACCCTTTTTCTAATTTTCTTCAAACATAAAATCTTTTCCTTCTTTTTCCAATGGCTTCTTCCTCTAAGCATGCTGGCTCTACGAAGAGCAAGAGCAAAACCGAGAATTCTGCTCCTCCAACAGTGGGTTCCATCACCCCAAGAAGGCTTGGTACTTCGAATGATTTTTGAAGAGAAATTTCCTATTGCTAACCCTCGTACATGGGCTGTTAGCAGGTACCCTTCTTCCATTCGTCCTTCCGCTATTCCTGCTGTGAAGGAGGACTACCACTACAATAAGTTGGAAATTATTTCCCCTAATCTAGCGGAGCGAGTCACCCTGCCCAAGGAAGGTTTTACATACTTTTTCATGTATCCCTTTACTTTGGATGAGTTTTCTTTGAGCGGAGAGCTTGATTCCATGATTGCGGAATTTTGCCTTCGCTACCAGGTGTGTTTGGCACAAGTAAGTCCTTCAGTGTGGAGGACGATTGCCTGCCTCCGACATTTGTGCTAAGAAACTGGAGAGAAACTAACCTTAGCTCATATGATGAATCCATATTCCCCTAAAATCCTCCGCGAGGGAATGATAAACCTTTGAAAGCTTGGCCACCATACTTTTTTGTCTAGCATGGATGTTGACAACAACCGTGAGTGGATGGAACGGTTTGTTGCAGTTGCCACTAATGACATCATTCCGACAATGGCTTCATCCTTTCCAGTTGCTTGGAACCGCACTCGTAATTTCTTTGTATAGTATTCCTTTTACTATATATTCCTCTATGGATGTATATTCACCTTTCGCATGTTTCAACAACTCGATGTATCCCACCCTATGGTGGAAGGTTTGAACCAGTGGTTTCAAAAGATCTTGGACGTCACCAACCCCAAAACTCGTTCGTGGAAAGAAAGGTCCCTTAAATTCGGGTGGACGGCCAAAAATCATGGTAACCTTAGTTTACCTTGCTTCCATTTTTGTATATGAAGAACTTGGTTGAACCCTTCTAACTTGTTCACGGAATTAGGCCTACTTGTGAGCTCTGTTGCTGTCCCCGGAGAGGGCGTTCTGGCTGATCCTACTGATGCAGCGAGGTTGCTTCAGGAAGTGCTTACTCGAACAGGTATCTCCGGGCCTATTTTAGGTGTGAATACTTCTTTACGGAGTCCCTGGCCGGAGGATAAACAAATAAAGAGAAAACGCTCCTCCGCAGCCGGGGAAAAGAACAAAAGGTCAAAGATTGATGCCCCCGAGTCATCTCCGGTAGCGATGATTACTAGTCCTCCTTCCGGTCCGATCGTAGACACCGTGATGATCGATGATGATGATGAAGCTAGTGATGGGGGAGCTTCTTTACCTAGAAGGCGACTATCCCCATCATCTTAACAGAATGCTCAACCTGTTGAGATAGTTGCACCAACTGAAGACGAGGTATCAGCACTTTAGGGAGAATCTAATTTAGTAGAATATGCCAACTCTCGCTTTCGGGCCCCAATTTTTCTAACTGGTGTTGTGAGACTGAGTACCGCGTCCTTGTCGTCTTTGGTTGGCGAGCATCAAATATCCAGCACTGTATTGGATGTAGCTGCTTCTCACTCTTCAACTCCATCAGCTTCATCTCCACCTTTACCAATACCAGCAACTGTTACATCATTCCCATATCCGTCTACTCTTCCACAAGCGGTTGCTACATCACCCCCATCGGCCGCACCTGACCATAAAGAAGGTGTTCCTTTTCCACAGTCCCTAGTTCATGGGAATTTTAGGGCAAAATTATGATGCACCTTTTGAAGATCCACAAAGTAAGAGGAACATTACTCTTTCGGTCTCTACCGGGTGCAACCTACTATCACGGACGGTGGAGCTTGCTAATTACTTGAAGCTTATGGCTTAAGAAAAAGACTGGGAAAAGATTAAGACACTCTCGGGAGAGTGTTTGTTGAACAATGCTATGCATAAAGCTGCGGCTGTATGTTCCTTCTTTCCCCTGTAATCTCTTCTACTTTTGAACGAATGTATTCTAAGTTTCACCTCTTTTTATTTTATAGGCCAACTTTCTTTCTTCTAAGGGCCTTCAAAGGTTGATTCGTGAGAAAGAAGAACTTACTTCTGAACGGAATCAGCTTTTGGCAGAACGGGAACAAACTGTTCTCCTCCTCTCAAAACTGGAAACCAAGGCTACTGAGGCCGTTGTTTTGGAGGCTTGTTTGCAGCAAAGTGAGCAAGAAGTGATAACCCTTAGCCAAGAAGTTGGACAGCTGAGGGTTAGATTTGATGAAGCCAAGGCCAAATGGGCTGAAGTCCAGGATGCCATTTTGCTATAACCGAGCGCGAGGCTGTTGCTGCCGAAAACGTAACCAACTTAGAAGCAGCCTTGAACTCTAAAATCGAAGAGCTTGCTGATGTGGGGGAAAAAGACGCCCAACTAGAAGAGAAGTACAATAAAACTATCAAGCATAACAAGTTCTTTAGTTCAACTATTTGCGACCTTGGCGTCAGCCTCAAGTCCGCTAGATCCACCAGGGAAAGCCTTTCTGCCGAGGTTTCTCAACTCAAAGAAGAACTTAAGCGCCGAGCGGCTTCCCTCGTTGTTGAAAAAACTTATTCCATGTACGGCATGAGGAGAAAACGTTGGAAAAGGCCAAAGCTAGTATCATTGACGTTGATGCCGAAATTGATAAGGCCCGAGAGCTTGAGTTGGCTGCAAAAAATGGACTCCGGAGCAGTCTGATGATCCAGGTTCTTCTAATTCCGGTTTCGAGTTTTTGAAAATTGAAGAAGAATCGGAAGGCGATGAGGTCGAAGTCCAAACTGGGGAAAACGTTGAGCCATCGGTGGAACCACCTACTTCTCTTAGGGATGCGGATACTTCTCTTCCTCCTGGTCCTGGAGACGCTGCAGTATAGCTTTTTCTTTCTCTTCCCATTTTGTACTTTTGTCGTTTTGGCACGTCCTTGTAAATAAAGACATATTTGTTTGCTCAAGTATCGTTTGAGTCTCACTTTTGTTTGAATATTTATGCAAGTCTTAAACTTTTGCATTTGTTTGAGCATTCTCCACATGTTGTTCTGCTCGCGTTTTACTATGTGTAGTCTCGGATGCTTTTTCTTCGAAGCATTTTGGTTCCGAGTATTATCCCTTTTACGTGAGGGTATCGTTGCGCAAGTTTGCTTTTTTCGTCCTTTTAT